AAGCGGAGGATTCAGTCTCATTTGTTCAGAGATTCTCCAAAAAAAAAAAAAAAAGTTTCCAGAGATACGTTACGTGCTTACCGGATTCATCGGCCCTTCGTTCTCCACCACCCAACGTATGAATGAATCTTCCGCCAAAACATGGAAAGATACACCGCCATATTTTTTGTCCTTTGTGCATGTCGCCCCGCTTCCGGATTCATGTTGCCCGTTGATAAGGGCGGTTTCTTTGGTCTGATAGTGTCAGCACACGGTTTCTTCCCTCTCCACACGGTTTCCTCTCTCTCTCTCTCTCTCTCACACACACACACACACACACACACAAGTGTGGCGGTGTATATTTCCATGTTGCAGCGGTAGATTCACTTGATTTTGCTCGTCGTTTCGATGGAAGTACCAGGAGGCCAGACGCGACGTTGGAGACCTCTCTCTCTCTCTCTCTCTCTCTCTCTCTCTCTCCCCCTAAAATAAAAAAAACAGTAAAATAAATCCCTAAACAAACAGTAAGATAAAAAAAATAAAGTAAATGGTGTGCGCACCCGGCGCACCTGCGCCCCGCCAGGGCGCACCCCCCAGCGCACCGGCCCTGAGCGCAGCGCACTGCGCACCTGGGTGCGCGGCGCGCGCCGGTGCGCGCGCACCTCGGGTCCGCGCACCGCGCAGCGCACAGGGTCGGTGCGCCGCAAGTATGGAAAATAACCTATAAAACTGCAAGGCAAAAGTGCACTTCCATGCATATTTTGACATCATTCCAATCCCAGAAATTTCTAGAAATTTCTGAAATGTCAGCAGAGGATACAAGAATGACCAAACTTGGCACACAGAAAGCCTGAACCAAAACAAAAAAAAGGCAAAAAAAAAAGAAAGACCCCCAAACTCTAATTTCAGTTTTGGACTGGGGGTCCCTGTCAACTACCTGCTCTGTGTGTGTGTGTGTGTGTGTGGTGGGTGTGTCTGTGTGTGTGTGTGTGTGTGTGTGTGTGTGTGTGCGTGTGTGTGTTGTATTCGGACATGTGTGTGTGTGTGTGTGTGTGTGTGTGTGTGTGTGTGTGTGTGTGTGTGGTGTATTCGGACAAGCACTTGTGTCTCCTCTCTTCCCTGCTTCCTCCAACAATGCTGGATCCTTCTCTCTTTTCTCTCTTTCTTCAGTTCTTTTTTTTTGCAATCTTCGCCCAAATGGGGTCATGGCCATCTTTAGTTCTAATATTTTCTCTAGAGCGGGACGTGCTATGGAGGGATGTGAAGTCACAAACCTGATGGCAACAGCAATGCCAGCAACTAATATTGGATGTGTTGCCTTATCGCAGTGCGCAACGGAGGGGAGGATGGATCATGATGTCATAAATGGATTCTTCTTTGAGGTAGCCCATTATTCTACCTTTCGTTGGTCTCATTCTACGGTTCTTTTCCCCGTACCTCTCTCTCTCTCTCTCTCTCTCTCTCTCTCTCTCTCTCTCTCTCTCTCTCTCTCTCTCTCTCTCTTTTGTGCAGACAGACACACCACTCCGGTTAGTGAAACGCTGCAAGACATTGGGTTTCCTGCTATGATTGAGCAAGCGAGCGACCTTTTTTTTTTTTTTTTTTTTCGTTGGGGGGGAGAGGAAAGCGAGGAGACCATTATCATGAAATAACACGAGCGACATTTTGTACTGTATGTAATAATTAATAATTATTGTAATGCACAACTTCCCATTTCTCGGGATGTTTTTTTGGTTTGGCCCCACCAGAGGGTAATGTACTTTCTCTATTTTTGTACTTTTGTTTCCCTCGCTCCAGGAGTTTTCGAGCGACGCATTTTTTTTTATTTTATTTTTTTTCCGTGTGGTGGTTTCCGAGCAAGGTGAAAGGATTTCATGCTACAAACACCCCGAGTCCCAGTTCCGGGGTCCCAGATTTGTTCCAGTCCCAGATGGTCCTGGTTCCAGGTAGGGTCTAGACTCCGTATAGGGCGTCAAGTACCGAACAGACTGGTAAAAATCCAACCCGTACCCGACAAAGAAAGTCCAATTTGGTAGGTGTGTCCCAAGAAAAGTCCAGAAGGGGTACCGGACCTCGAAAAATTCATGCAGCAGACAGGCCGCAGGCAGCATTGTTCATTCATGAGATTGCAGAAGCGCTGCTTGCTGCTTGTGCGACATACCGACTTGGGCGACGTGCCAGCAGGCCTGTTGGGTGGCGCCGTAGTATTGGCGTTGGAAGAGGAGAGGGGGCCATAGCCGCAGTAGTTGAGGTTGTAGTAGGAGGATGGCCGATGTATCCAGGGTTACGAACGTACGATCCAAGTAGTAGCAGTAGGGAGAGAGAGAGAGAGAGAGAGAGAGAGAGAGAGAGAGAGAGAGAGAGAGAGAGAGAGAGAGAGAACATGTGCATTTTCTCAATTGGCCTGCAGTTGAGAGAGAGAGAGAGAGAGAGAGAGAGAGAGAGAGAGAGAGAGAGAGAGAGAGAGAGAGAGAGAGAACATGTGCATTTTCTCAACTGGCCTGCAGTTGGTTGGTATAAATCTGCCTGCTTTTCCCAATGTTTCCAGATTTGTCCCTATTCAAAACTTCACACTGCAAGGAGTTGTTGCACCATGTTGTGCAGAGTTAGATGGGGGCCAGAGAGAGAGAGAGAGAGAGAGAGAGAGAGAGCAGTCAGACTCACTTTCTTTTCCCCTTCGCATTCACGCAAACAGATGGCAAGTCACAGTGGCGCTAGTGCCCACTCAAAGCTCAGAGATATGGAAGTCGGAAACACAGTTCAGATACATGCTCGCTTGAACAGGCTATGGCGCATCAGCGCCTGTACAAGTCTCTGTTCGTCACTGTGCCCAACTCCGCTGTTCGCAGATACTCAACTCAGGATCACCCTGGATATCCCACACGCGACACACTGTATCAAACACACGCACACACTACACTCGCCTACTACCTACGGCGGCTATGGCCGCTCAACCCTGCTGGCTATGGCTACGCAACCTCTACTCTGCCCACTTCGTCTTCGGGCGTTCTGCAGACCACCTCGCACAAGCCGCTCAAGCAGCGCTTCCGCATGGCTTACGCAGGAATGAAATGAATGGCTGGGCGCTGCCTCTTGATTTATACTTCTGTAACTCGTTGGTCTGCCCCTTTTCCACCGGGCCCATGGTGCACACAGTCCCATACGGTACTTGCTTGACTGGACTGGGACTGACTGGGACCGGTACCGCTGACTCAGCATGGGCGGACCTCACCACTTGCCCACTTGCCTCTGGTCTGCGGTGAGCAACGTCTGAAGGGCCACTTCCGGACCTTGCGGAAGTCTGTGGATTTGGCCCTTCGACACTGTAGCAGCTACGACCTTGACCTTTCAGGACTGTAGCAGCTACGGCCTTGACCTTTCAGAAATTCTACAGCTACGACTTCTAGAACTCACTAAGACCTCTATCCGACAGGTCTACAGATCGAACCCCTATAACCTACGGACCTACGGCAGCCTACCAACTGTTAGGAATACACAGGTCACGGGTTCAACTCCCGGGGTCGACACAGGTAGTGTCCACAGGTAAGGTGAGGACTAGGGACCGACCCCTGGGATCTCCGTTCGCTACTGCTAACAGGTGAATACCGTTTCAGAGAGAGAGAGAGAGAGAGAGAGAGAGAGAGAGAGAGAGAGAGAGAGAGAGAGAGAGAGCTGGGCCAATTGAGTATCCTTGGGCTGCATGAGACTGCTCAAGGTTCCAATCGGCCCTCCCACAGAATTGAAAATAATGGCAACGATTCTAAAAAAAGAACAAAAGGGAGTGGGTATCTTGTCAATGTAATTGTTCGTTGACTTGCCAGTGGAAAATAGGAATCGGGACGGATGTTCCCCAGAATAGACAGGAGCCTGGACCATAAAGTCCTGTTTTCCTAAAAAAAAAAGAAAAAAAAAAAGAAAAAAAAAAAGACTTCCAACGAGTAGTCATTCGTAAAATTAGTGTTAAATAATTTAAATTGCTAAATTAGTGATCACTAAGAAATCATGTGGGCTCTCCGCATGCAGGTTTGCATCCAGCCGTCCACGTCCATCCCAAAAAGAAAAAAAAGAAAAGAAAAAGGGCTCGCCACATGCAGGTTTGCATCCAGCCGTCCACGCCCATCCCCCTTCCCCTCCCCCCCCCCACCCCAAAAAAAAAGAAGGAGTGA